TATTCTTTTTTAGACAAAATTACATATCATTATCGTTTGGTAAAAAGTATAAACAAAAAAATATATAATCGTAAGTCTTTTTGAAGAATTTTTAACATGGTTAGGATACAATAATAATAACATTGCTAATAATATATACACATATTATAAAATAAGTGTCGAAGGGACACATGTCACACCCCCGGCGGGTGGCGAAAATGTCGGGTTGTGCGACGTTAAGATGTTGGATCATGGATACAAAATTATATTGAATAGTACACAAATATTATGCAAACGTTACTTTTTATTCATGAGGTAATATAAGATACACATGTATTCAAGGTACATATACGTTACGGAAGTAAAGCATAATAATAAAACACACAGGTACTCAAGGCATCTTGTTGCATCACCGGGGTCTTGCTCATCTCCTTCGGGACCCATTCTTCTGAGAATACATTTGGTTTGAAATGTGAACATAATGTTGGTGAATTCACAGGTTCTGTATATTGATAAATATTTTGTGGAGTTGGTTATGTTAGCGTTGTTGTTTTCCTGAACTCGCATACTTGAGTTGTATTCTATCGCTACTTTCTTGGGTTTATTTCTTAGCAGTAGTTTTTAGATAGATTAGTTTAACAACGTTACGATGAGTTCTTATAATCGAGCTATGATTGTTGTTGTCATCCGCCCAGATTCCCGATGCTTCATTAGACGTCGTCCGTTTTTGGAAAGTTATGCAGACACCGACTGCTGTCGGTTTGTAGCTAGCAACTGCAGGTGGAGGTGTCAACTCTGTATAGATCAATACATATATTCCCTGCACACTTAAGATTAACAATTATAGGTTTGGGGCTTATAGATAAATGTATTCAGCTAGGGGATGAATCGTGTCTCATCTAACACTTGTTTGTGTAAGCCTCCACTGGTCGATCATGTTGTTGTTCTTTGTTGTATTTATGCAAGATACTTACTATATATATCAGTGTTGCAGAAATCGGCCTTGGCGGCCGATTAATCGGCGATTAATCGTTTGGCGGCCTCGAACCGATTACGATTAGGGGGCTTGACGGAAATTCGTCAAAATCGGTCAAACTCGGGCTTGGCGGCCTTGGCGATCCTCGGCGTTCATAGGCGGGAAATATTTAAAAAATTCAAAAAAAAATAATTTTCAAATATTACACCAAAATTTTAAAATTTTAAATTTTAAGCTTTCAAAATTTAAAATATTATAATAAAATTTTTAAAAATTCAAAATTTTAAAATTTAAAATTTTCAAATACTTAATTTTTAGGAAATATTAATTTTTTAAATAATTTTTTTAATAATTTAGGGTCCCCGATTAATCCACGCCGAGTCTGATTAATCGTTTATCGTCAGTCGACCGTCGAGCTACCGCCGAACGATTTTTACAACCTTGATATATATATATATATATATATATATATATATATATATATATATATATATATATATATACATTATCATATACATATATATATATATATAACTAAGTTAGCGTGTTTTGCGTAGCCGAGTATTTGGGTAGAGTAACCATTAGGTACTAAGCTTATCTAAAGGTTGCCTATAGTAATGACCAGAGAAAAAGCGTTTCCTGGCAACTGACCACCGTAACAACTAGGTATGATGTTTTTTATTAGTGTAAGTCGGCATAACAACTAGGCATAATATTATCCCTAAAAGATAGGCAGGGTATCTACTGGGCATCATATCATCCTAATGTTCTAGGCATAATCATATAACTAAGGTTATACATTTAGCAATATTTATGAAAGCGATATTTTATAACATGTATCCCCCCTTCCCCCGGTAAAAGGATTGAAAACAGTAAAGTGGGGTTGTGAACCCACCATTGATGTAGGGTAGAATTCAAGAGTCTGGGACTTGGGAGATGCTCGAGAATTAGTGGCATGGAAATCGAGAGAGAATGAGAGAGATCTTTGAGGTGTGAGAATAGAATTGTCGGGACTTGCTATTTATAGCAAAATCTGGATTGCGCGCCGCGCAAGTGCACGTGACCCACAAGGAGCTGCCACGTGTCCCCCTCTCCTCGTGCCACGTCGTCCGTATCCTGACAAATCCAGTCGTCAGGTGTGCGTCGCGCACTGCGCGCAGGTGCACGTGAGGGTAAAAATCAAACTTTAAAAATTCTTAACTCTCGCATACGAGCTCCGTTTTCAACGACTCTTATAGTGTATGTCTCGACGTACACTACAACTTTCCTTTTGGTCATTTTGGCTAATTATAACTTTCGTTTTTAGCCTATATTTTATAACCGTTATGATTTTATAAAAATCATAACTCTGTTATACGGCTTCCATATTAGGCGTTCTTTGTCTCAAAATTCCTACTATGAGTAGTAATATGTTTCTCCTTTTGGTGACTTATATCAAAAATCAATTGTTCTTTTCGTAGTTTTTGACGTTGTAACTTTTTATGTGCGGAAGATTTTTTATTTACCATAAAAATCATATCTCTTCCACACTAAGTCAGATTTTTACGAAGTTTAAATTTTTGGAATCGTGGCAACGCGTATATTCTAAAAATGTTAACATGCTCTCAAGGTGACACGATTTTTCGTGCACTTAATTTTGAGCCTAATTATTGACGTAATTAAGGACAAAATCGAATATATATCTAATTATATATCGAAAGGTTACGTAGTTGTCATATTACATGCTGCTGACAGTGTTAGATTCTAACGGCAGTTGGTGACATATTTTTTCGGGTTGTCACAACACATCTATGATATTTTATCAGCAAACTTTTAGTAAATTAACAAACAATTTTTTACCGGAGCCAATCGTAGAAATATGGGTAAGTTTGATTTTTGGACACGACGAATTGGTGGAAAACCAACTTATATATGGTCGATGACAAACTAGATACATACAAGCCTTATGCTTTCATTGTATACTTCAAGTTAATTAATAAGTTCTTGTTTATAAACTTTGGAAAACGATTGTGTTTGCCTCCCTCATCCCACCCCATCTACACTTGTTTTTTGTGAGATGTCGTGCTTGGAGGTGTTAACACACCAATTAGGATCAACATTTACTATTAGGGAAGTTTCCTTTTTTATTTGAATCAAGATTTGATAGCATCCAAAATTAGTTCGGGTAACAATTGTAACACCTCATCTTAAAATACATTGGAAATAGCAGCATACTTTGCAAATCATAATATTTTAAAGAAACATCATTGTGTTACGACCAAAAATTCACACACCATAAGTAAATAATTCAAGTTACAAGGGTGTTACGCCAAAATTTTAAAGAAACATCTTCGTAACACTTACTTTTAACATCTGAGACATATAAAAATAATACGTTAGTCTCATAAGTCTAATGATTAGCATGAGTATTATTACTCATATAAATATATAAAACCTTAAGCATTGAACATTATCATAATTAGGAGCTAATGTAATAGGTAAAATATCATAATTTGAATGTTATAATCTTATGTCTGAACCTATCATACTCATCCCATTTGCAACCCATAAACATGAAATTCCATTATAATGTGGAATAAACTTTTGTAAACGACTTTGCTTGTAAGCATCATGTAAAATCTTTAAAATTCCTATTCCATGCAGTTATATATATATATATATATATATATATATATATATATATATATATATATATATATATATATATATTAGTAGGCGACCCGCGCGATGCGGCGGCGGCGATTGTTTTACTTCTGCAAATGTTTTGGGCGGCGATTCGTTTCCGTTCCTCGGGTGCCGTTATACAATCCATTTGATGGATCGAGATTCCGTAACAGCATTATCGCGTATCCAACTTTTAGTTGTAGGTAATGAGGGAAACCACTAACAGAAAGCGTGTTCAAGAATTCCATAGGGTAAAAGTTATTTATCTCCTCTACGGTTTCATCAAAATTATAGTAATTATCAATCGGAGACCGGGACAATATTTTGAATAACACTAAGTGATGCAACGGCTGGCTAACGTTTGGGGGGGGGGGGGGGGCAATGAATTTTTTTTTGCATAGAGTTTTCTTTTCGGTAATTTGTTCTCTCTCGAAGGCGTCAAATAATTTTCATGCGTCAAGTACATTCCTTTCAAATCTCAAAATGCTTTCTCGAAATCCAAATACATAAGCAAGCATTTGGAAACCGAAATATTTAGAGATGGAGATTCTTGATTTTAGTCAGGTATTTGTAAGATGTTGATACTAAGGACACACGTATATACATTCCGCGTGTATCAGATCTTTACATTCATCAAGTTTATGATACCTTTGAAGTTAGAAAGATTACAAGAAGCACTATGATTAGCAACATTCTTTTAATCAATAAATGTCTAAATTCTTTCCTGTTATGGAATTGTACTTTTAAAAGTCATATCATCCTAGGCCATTGATCTTCCAAAAGTTTTTGAAGTACCTGGATACCCTCTTTTTTTAATTACTATTAACAGTTATTTGGTGAATAAAAACATCCAACTTTCTTTTTGAACTACACATTCAGACCTTGAATTAAAATATTGGAGACCATGAACCAAGATATTATTAAACTAAATTTTCAATATTTTTATAATATTATCACTAAAAACTAAATATTTTCGACAACAGAGTTTATGTCTAAATCTGCTTAAGCGACAATTTTAGCAGCACGAGGCAAAGAGAAGAAACACAAACTAAGATTGAAGGCTTTAGGGACAGATTAGTCCACTAACAATGCTACTAAAAAACACAGCTATCAACCACATCTAGGGAATAAGTCAATGGAAATTTTGCCCAAACATAAGGGGCATTTTATTCAAAACTCAAACTAATACTTTATTAACAGCAAGACCACATTAATCAAATCTGGGACCATAAGTTCAAAAATAGCAGGAGCATATCAGAGGCATATTAGTGAAAACCATACTTAAACATAAGAAACAACAGCAACATATCAGAGGCATATCAGTCAAAACCCCACCAAAACTTGAGAAGCAGCAGCAAACAGGAGCAAACAACATAACATTAGCAACTTTAATTAAAATTTTCCATCTGTGTCCCAGATATACAAAAGATAGTATAAGCTCATCAGTCAGAAATGATATTAGAGATGCCATAGATAGTAATAAGATTTCCTAAAGTTTTTCCCCATCTATCCACACTTGAAGTGGTTTCATTGAACGGAAATGGTTGTAACAGCAAAGAGGACCGAATTAAAGGTAACAACATCTTCTGTAAAATTTGATCAGGCAGGATAATTTGGAGCTAGCTTAATAATTTGGTTGGTTTATTCCAACTTTCTCACTTTTCTGGACCTGTATATACACATATTCAAAAAAGTTGATCATAAAAAAAGATATCAATTGTAAAAAGTATTTGGTCATGAGATAGTAGCCAAAAGATTTTGAGTTTACTTTAAACTCACATAAATTTCATTGAAATAATAGCAATTCAAGACCATCTACAACTATTTACACTAAAAATTGAAATAGCAAAAAGATATCTAACCAACCCTCATCAGATTTTTTTTTCAGCTGGAGTCTTTACCCCTTACAAGTCCATACAAACCCAAAGAGTATAAAATAAGCATGCAGGTTAAACTATAGGAATCGAATAAAATACTAATCTATAACTAAAATCGTAATCATGATCAAACATCAATTAAACATAATCAAACATCAAATAATCATAAACAAACTTTAAAATTAAGAAAATTTTGGGATATGTTTGGGTTTATATGGGTTAAAAGTAAAGGAAGGGAGAGAGGTTAACATGGATTTGCTTTTTGCAAAGGAGCGCACATGGTTGGACTGAGAACAATCGACGGTAACGGTTGTTGACCTGGTGTCGTGGCAGTGGAGAAGGTTGGCTGGTGGTTGTTTAGCGTTAGTGAGAATAGGGGCGTTGACATACAGTCACCTTCATCAAGCTTTGAAGTCAGATCATCAGCTTCCACAGTTCATAACAATCATTAGTGTCACCATACTTTATCATTATAGACATGTAATCTACAAGTATATTGATTAAAATAAAGTAAAATATGCATTTAAATCTAAACAAACAATCAATCACATCAAAAAAAATTATTCCGGTAAATAACCTTACCAGAATCAACAGGTGCAACATGACCATTAACATATTTCCCAAATTTTGTTATGTGTTGACCTCAAAAATAATAAAACAAAGATGAATGAGATGATCTTTAGGACCTAAAGAGGAAATATACACAGAAAAATAAGTGAATAAGCACTAATTTCCAATGTGATTCTTATAAGTCATGACCAAATATCGTTGCAACATAATAGAAAAAAAAGAATCAAAAGACAATGAAAGCACACATAAAACAAAATAATAATAAGAATATGTGTTTGAGGGAGTAACTAAGAAAACTAAAAAATGAGCTAGGTAGCCAAACAGAAGGCTTATCGTGCAATGCAGTTTCCATGTAAAATATCTATTGCATCTGGCCATCAATGTTGATTTTGTGTTTGTACAAAAGTATGTATGGTTAGATGCAAAAAATCAAATTATATACCAAAAACAAATAAAAATACATTACTTGGACATGAAAGGTTTATTAGATGTTCTCCAAACCTTAACATGTGATAAAGAAACATCAATAATGGCTATAGTCTTGAAGGGGCTTTGTATCAGTTGTAGTGCAGTAAAGCCCCAATAATACATACAAATTCAGTTCAAACCTAAATCAGAAACATAAAACTTATGATATGTTCAAAAAAAAACTAATTCAGAAAGAGAGAAAGGGTGCCCTACTTGGGGTTTTGTTCCAAATCTACCTTAAATATTTGGTGACAGCAGCATAAACGGTGGTGGCTGGCAGATTTGTGGTGGTAAGTGTGACCGGTGGTGCTCTGAGATTTAAAGTTTTCAGAAGCCATGAACAAACTAACCCCAATTTCCTTTAAGGTACTCCTAGATTTTTCGAACATCCTGCAAAAAAAAAAAATAATAAAATAAAATAAAAAAACCTTAGTAAAACTGTCGAACCTTCGATTGTCCCTTTAAACAATGTCAATGATGAGAAATGTTAGAGATTATCTACAAAATCTTTTGCAACTTTCTCAGATACACATGCATCAGGCGTTTCTGTTTAGAGATAAACACAAAGAATGTCGAAGAGCTCACAACCAAAACTCTAAATCAGCGATTAATAGACAAAATAAGAGAGAAAATTGAGGGTAAACTTCATTGTTCATTAGGTTTACCAGGGAGAAGGTGGTGGTTGTTCGACAATTGTGAAAGTTGTGGTGTCTTCCATGGATGCTTATGACGACATTGTAGAATTCCTTCTTCAAAATAGCACAACAAAATTAATCTAATCAGATATGACGGGCCTTTCATCCACTGCACTTCTTTAAACAATCTAATGAATGAAACAAAAGGAATCACCAAAAAAAATTAAAACCTAATGGTTTAGGCGTTGTCTTTGATATCTCTTTCAAATCAAAACCCTAAATTAGAAAAACCACAATACATATTGAAAAATAGTTTCAAAGAAACAATCATCTTTATTTACACTCGTCATTAACTTTTGGGGCAAAAAAATCCGGTTAAGGAATTTATTACCTTTTTTTACTGAAGAGCATAGCAGAGGAGCATAATGCTTAGCCACCAGTTGCTAGCGGAGATGGGAGCAACAACGATGGCAGTGTCGATGACGATGAGTAGTGGCAGGGTTGGAGAGTGAGTCGGGGTGGAGAGATTCGGATATAGATGATGGTGAGGGTTCCTTGCAAGAAAAGCGGGGCGATGGAAGAGTGATGGTGGAGATAGCGGTCAGATACGATGAATGGTGCAAGGTTGGAGACTGGATGGTGGTTCATTGCTGGCGCATAACGGTTACTTGGGTGGATGAGGGCGATGACTTGGGCGGATGTGGGAAACGGCGACGGCTCTCAGATTAGGGTTTTTGAGTATTTGATTGAGAGAAATTGTGGCTTTAGAGATATACAGGAGAAACGAAATTAGTGTTTAGAATTCGGATTTAATTCTGAAACGTATACGATGATAAGCATAACAATGATTGTATAAGATGTAATACGATCTTGTACCTCTTAAATTTCAAAAAATGTTGAATATGCTTTATATAATATATATATATATATATATATATATATATATAGAGAGAGAGAGGAATAATCATTTGAGAACTCAAAGTTTCCCAAGAACTCGAGAACCAAACGAAGGCCGTTAGATCAAAATAATTAAAGGTTATGATGATTTATGGCATTTTCGTAAATAACAAAGGGAAAAAAGAGGCGGGGGCATCTTATTTCACATGAATCAGGGGCATTTTAGAGACAACCTAATATACCGTCTCAGATGCCAGATCTGTTCCTGGTTCAAATCGGAAGACAAGATGGAGATCAAAAATCTAATCGGCGACCACCTCCTTCGCTCTCCAGAAAATCGACGCCAAATCCTCCTTCTTCGCCACACATTCTCTCATCCTCACCGGAGATCCATCTTCGTCTCATCTCCGACCTCAATCACCATCGATTTTGCTACAAACGGTGTCATTTTGACTTCGTCGGATGGTGTTGGTTGCCTCTGCCTCCATCTGATTGTGGAACTGTCTTCGTCTCACCTCTGCCAGAAATCTTTCTCAGTCTATCGTTGCCTCACGCCCTCACCTCTTCAATTTCAGTTACAGTTAATACCAAAAACTTAGGGTTTGCAATTGTTTTCTGTCCACGATTTCAATCTCGTGTTAGGATTCTAAATCAACAGAATCAACATTTCAGATACTATCTTCAACAGCGATGGAGCTCTCGATGAAGTTCATCTCAAGTAAAAAGCATCTGGCATAGCTCTCTGTTCTGTTCTCAATGATATTCCTAATTCTAAAAGGGTAATGTTTCCGATTTTTCAATTATATTGTAATTTTCTCTTTCTTTTTTATGTATCTGGTCTATTGATTCCTCTATCGATCCGGTAGATATAGAAACGATCTTCCAATCGCATTTGAGGTTCACTTCACTAGCCGATCAACTGTGACGGCTTATTGAGGAGTTTCAGGGCGGCGATTTCATATATTGAGGGTATATCGAAACAAGTTATTCACAAAAGGCATCTGATTATTGCAACAATTCACCAACTCTGATCTCTCCACTTTCGATTATGTTTCAAATTGTATCATCTTTTGAATTTGGTCTTCTGGTAGGTATTTATAACCTCTTCTTAGCTTTTCTCGATTTATGAGTTCAAACTTTTGTTTATAGTTCCAATTCAGTAAATTAGTTTTTGATTTTGTATAAATATATTCGTTCATAGATGTTTCTCTTATGATGGCAACTATTTCTAGGCTATTATTTATGCGACTGTAAGGCCATTTATGAAGAGTATATTTCTAAGAACTACGAGAATGGTGGTTGAGCTGTAGTGGCTGGAATTTGTGTGTGTGTGTGTGTCCAGAGATGCTATGGTAAAATTATATGGCTTTTTATTCTATACATCTTAAATATGGATCATGATATGAATTTTTTTGGATATTGGTGATGATCTAACATATATTCTTGTTGCTATTAATCCTTTCTGACAGTTAAAGAGATTTCAATATAATAATTATGTCTAAACGGGTGGTAATTACAGGTAAGGCTTTGCAGAAATTATTTAGATTACTTTGTTTTGTATTAATACGATATGATGTTGGTCCTAATAATTTTTTATTTGACATGGATCTTGTTGTAGGAGTTATGCTAGTGTTGTTTCTGCAACTCTTCCTCCATCCGGCTCCTTTGAAAATCACATAAATCGGATGACAATCAATTTAAGTGGACAGAGTGTGGAAGATGGAATTTATTATTTGAAAAAGCACCTTATATTTGGTGTGTATTGTGGAAGTAAGCACCTTATTTACGCATTGTGTTTTGAAACGTCTCCCAATCATAGCATTTTGCTTTCAGTTTTTTCCTTATTATGACACTATACTTTCAAAAGTCTGCCCAATTATAGCAGTGAAAATTGCTTTGTATTAATAGGAAGAAACGAAAGTAGGATGCTATGATGTACAAATCAATGGAAGTATGTTGCTATGTATTGAAGTTAACCCAACAACAAACATGACATCACTATCTTAAACCCTGAAAAACTCGGTATCTTTCTTGGAGGCTCTTCTGGTTTTCCACCATCATCATCCACCATAATAGTCCAGGCACCAATGTCAGCACCAACACTTGTTGTCCTTCTATGCCCTATGCCCTGAAACTTTGCTCTCATGTTTCTCATCAAGGTATTGTACTTTTGAAGGATGCTTTTGTTTCTGAATTTTATTTCTTGCATTTGGTATTGAATTTTCTTGTGTCTGGTGATATTTCTTTCAACCAATATTTCTAATTGACTATATGTGGTTGGGGGCATTTATGGTATTATACAGGCTGGGCACATCAGATAATTTACTGATTTCAATTCAAGACAAGATAAAAGGGGCAGGCACGATGAGTGAATTGGACAAGAAACATAAAAAGAGAATGAAGAAAGACTGGAAGAAGTCAAGAATGCACTCTCTCTCAAGGTCAGCACAGTAGCACTATTCCTTTTAATTTTCTTATCTAGGTAAAATATAAGATAAGGTCTTAATAATATTTCTGTTGTGTCTGAGTTCTGAAATGAATAGTTTTTTTTGTGGGGGGGGGGGGAGATGGAAGAGTGAAAATAGGAATGATTTGTTTTTGGATATTTTTGTCGATATGTGTTACTTACATGTGGCAGAAGTTACAAACTGAATCCCAATCAACAAATTTTTGGTTATCTATCGTAAGATAGTTTTAATCGTTTCATAAATATAAATGAATGTTTGGATTACAATTTTTTAAAAATCCAATAAGTCATTTTTTATAAGACACTCAATCTTATTTCACTACATTTAAGAATCGACCAAAATATCCTTTTAACATAACAAAAACTTTTCGTTCCTATGCTTCTAGATAAGAAAAACTCGCAGCAGCCTCCCTTCTTCTCTCGTCGCCTCCTCAGGCGATTCCCGATTACCTGCCGTCGATAGCTCGCCGCTGACTTCTATCGCCGGATACCGTCGCACCCAACAGCACCGGCGACCGTTTCATACCACAGATTCTATTCGATTCAGGTGCGATTTTCTTCATCTTGCTTTCGTTTAACTGTGCCAGCTCTAGATTTTCCTTTTCCCCTGATTGCAGTTGAAATCGAAATCATGTGTTTGTTGAAATCGAAATTTGTATGATGTCTACAAATTTTAGATGTATGAGTTACTGTTTTCGTTCAACTGCATTCAATTGCATGCTCTCGAGTTTCCTGTCCCCCCTGATTTCAGTAATCGAAATCATATGTGTTTATTGCTTGCTGTCACTGCAATGGTTATTGTAAATGCATATCATCGTTTGATTACAAACGAAGTTTACTATAAAAAATTATGTGTTGACTATATCTCTGTCTAATGAGAATATGTTTCGAAAAAAGTGTTTCCAAATTAACTCATTTCAGCATTGTAATGATATGACAGTCAAAGCATGATAAAAATGATCACAGTTAATTATATGCATTTACATAACCTCTCTCTCTCTCTCTCTCTATATATATATATATATATATATATATATATATATTTATCCTACGTGGCTTTCAAAAGTAGGATTATGTCTAACAATCAAATAAAGTATTTTGTTATACAAGTTATCAAACACCTAAATCAACTAACAATTAAAATTCTCAGTTTTGGACCCAAAACAGCCACTGTTTAAAGCTGTTTTAGCACACTTGAAACCTATATAACTTCCGTTTTTATTTCATATTCCAGAAGTTAAGACTTTTATCTTTTCAGAATGTACTTTTGAAGGTCCAAACGATTTTTCTACAATTTTATATGATTTTTACAAAACTGCCTATCAATGCAGCTAAATTCTGACCAGCTGGTGAAAAATGTGATTTTCACCTAAGTTAGAAGCAACAAAAGGTTATGGAAAAATTAATGGATAAACTAGATTCAAAATGGAAACTTTGAAAGTTTACGGATCATTAATTCGATTCCTAGTGATTTTTCTATAATTTTTCCAATACAGGGACAGATTTGTAATTTTTGCTGAATTTTCCAGCTTTGGATTTCAAAGGCTTTTTGACCACTTAACACATTAAGCCATCACTAAGAACACCCATAAGGGTAAAAATTAGCCTCTTAACAGACGTGGCATGTCAAACAATAAAAATATCATCCCACTCACAACCCACTCATCAAGGTACAAAATATTTTGTGGAAAACAAAGTAGGTTGCACAAATAGGAACTTGGATTTCTTCCACCACCAATTCTCATAGAAGGACTTTGAAAGATTATTTTGAGGCTTATTGAGTGACTCAAAACATGATTTAATCTAAACAAACAACAACAAAATCATGATCACTCTTGTATTTATTTCTTTTCTTTCTCTGTCTCTATTGTTGGTTTGTGAGTATGCAGAAAGCAATTTTTCTGACTCCTTGGACATGCTTGAGGATAAAAGTTTAAAAATAGAAGATGATTCTGACTTGCCATCATGGTCAGGTGATGAACGTGGTGTCAGGGTTCTTATGAATGTTGATAGCTTTGGTGCTGTTGGAGATGGAGTTTCTGATGACACAAAGGTGAATATACATATATAGTCTTTCTTGAGTGTATTGATGGAGTCATTAAGGGGATTCTTTTTATTTTCATGTATGTTACATAACAGGCCTTTGGAGATGCATGGAAGGAAGCATGTTTTACAGATTTCATTCACGGGAAACAGTGCAATATATAATGATATATGCATGAGAACTCAACTGTAAAAATGGAAGAACAAGACTCGGAAGAAGAACAAGGATCTCCATGTGGATATGATTCAAAGTGTCATCCAACAACTCTTCTATCAGGTGAATCATAATTGATAATGGTTCATGTTCGAATTTTCTTGAATTTTTGTTTTTGTCTGAATCGTGGTGTGACGGTTATAAGTAAATCACATGTAATTCATATGTGAATTACATGTGATTCACATGTAAATCACAAGTAAATCACATATGAATTACATATGATTCACATGTAATTATGAATTTCATGTGATTGACACGTAAATCACATAAGAATTACATGTGATTCACATATAATTCACACATGATTCATATGTAAATCACATGTAATTCACATATGAATCACAAGTGATTCACATATGAATTACATGTAATTCACATATGAATTACATGTAATTCACATATGATTCACATGTAAATCACAAGTGAATCACATATGAATTACATGTGATTCACATGTAAATCACTAGTGAATCACATATGAATTACATGTGACTTACATGTATATAATATCTAATTCACATATGAATTATATATATATATATATATATATATATATATTATGCGAAAATGAAAAGAATCTATTAGAAAGTGTCATCTATTTTTCTTATTTTAAAAATATGACAATTAAATATTTATTACGTGTTATGATGGTGTTTAGAGGCGAGGAAGTTCTAATAATTTCATAGAATAATTATATTTTTTTAGAGGTGACAACATTAACCTAGTCAATATTTCTGCTGAATTTCTTGTCTATTGGCTTGGAATTATCCAAGTAGCACCAGACGACTTAGCCTCATGATTTTATCAACTTTGAGGTTTTAAATGAAGTCTTACCTTTAAATAACACTCGTTTTCACCATGTTGTTACTTCCATAGTTTACATGTTCAGGAGAACTATTAACATATGTGATGAATATTCGATTTATTTATGGGAATAGAAGTTAGTAATGTGCATGTTTATCTGTTAAAACTCTGAATCAAAATGGTTATTATGTGTATGTTTTTCTAATAAAATTTTTGAATCCAAAAGATTTTAATATATTTTTGAATCCAAATAATTTGCGATAACGCGAAAACAAGAAAAACCTATGAGATTGTGTCACCTCAATCTTATATTTTGGACAAGAATTCATCCAAATTTTAAACTACGTGATAATAATCGATGATACATGAGAAATTGTTTCACATTAGCAAAACATGTTTTTTGATTTTTTTATTATGAAAACTTGAATTTAAAAATGGTTAAGGACGTGAAAAAAAAACGGTTGTTAAAACCACCTTTAAATCTATATTACCATAACACCCTCCCATATAAACTTATTATCTTTAATTTATTGCTAATAAATTTAATTTCTAAAGTACATGCGTGTGATTTTTATAAGATAAAATATGTTTTCGCATTTTCACAAAGTATTTTTATAAGATAAAAGTCATTAATAACATGACTTTGCTTGATGAAAGTTCTTCTTTTTATGTTCGTAGATAAACTGTTCGATGAAATGTCTGAGTGAATAATTTTTCAAAGTATTCTGCTTTTTCATGATGTTTTCATATATGATCTACTAGATTGCATTTTAGGTATCCAGTGGACTACCTTTTTGTGAGGATGGAACCCTTTCTTTCATTTTGTTATTATTTTTTATCACTTGAGCGAAAATCTTAATCCAAAGTAATTGAAGTCCTTTAATCCTTTTTATATGGTTTGCATTAGTGATTGGTTTAATTTGGGTGCCCCTGAAACAAATTTTCAATTTTTAGGTAAAGTAAAATATTAGTTTGATGCAATTGTTAGAAAGATATCATGAGTTAATATTGCTTTACGGTTGTAATCAAGATTATATGGAATAAATTTGTGGCGGTTGATCTGCATATCAGTGTTGCACTTGCAACACAACTTTGGGATTAAGTTGAGAAAAATGGTGAGTATTAAGTAATTTATGCTAACTAAAATGGTAGCTGATAACTGAATTATAATCTTTTTATAATATTAGGATAAGGAAAATGAAGCTTCAAGAACGGTATACATCAATGGTCCCGGTGGCTACCCAAGAATGCTATATATTTGAAGCAATATTTCATTTCTAATAACAAGTAACTGTTATTAAAGTGCTTATAATCTTTTTCTCTGCCATGCTTCTAAAGAAACCTATTTGTCTGCGATTAGCACAGACAAAGAACTTACACTTATGTTTTTTTTTTTGTAAATTATCCAATTTCATTTTAATATACATGATGTCATTTACAATTATTTTATTAAATCAAAGTGGATGAAGGGAAATGTCTTTTAAATCGATCCACTTTGGTTGACAGCCGGTTATTTTTAAAATTAAGTTGCAATAAAATGAGCGTTTTTTCTTTTTTAAAAACTGATATCATATTGGTTGATGGGTTGTTTCTTTTAAAATTAGGTTTATATTTATAATCAAACTAGATGAGGGGTTGTTTGTTTAAAAGTAGGTTGCTATTTTATGCACTTAATTTTTTTGGTGCTTTAAAGTATGTTGCTATAAAGTGGAAAAGGTAAAGCTAAAAAATGTAGGTTGCTCTATGCATTTAACTTCCCGATTGTGCTTTATAGTTTATTCAAAGTTATTTTTGTTACAACATTATATTTTCGGTCATTTTACAATTCTATGGAAAAGTCTGAAAGGTAAAGTTTAATTATAACATGTTAAAGCTTTTAATCTCTTTTAAAAGCCTTTTAAGGAGATGACCATATATATATATATATATATATATATATATATATATATATATATATATATATATATATATATATATATTCACTATTAGCAGTAGGATAAATTAGAAAATTTATAGTCAATTGAAAAATGATAAGTTTGTTTAATAAGTCATATATTTAATGATTTTTTGTATGAGTCAATCTGATTTCATCATTTTTATATATTTCCAATAATTTTATCAAAGTGATAATTTATTTTTGCTGAATAAAAGAGTTTAAAAGATTTTTTGAATAATAATATATTTTAAATGAGATTTATTATTAATTAAAAAGTAATACCATCTAATAAATATATTTTAAAAAGAGTCTAGGACAATGTTTATCGAAGGATGGTTTGTTTTCCAATATTGTCAATTAAAATCTGTTTAGAAATTATAACACCTCTTAATTTGCAGTTGTATTGATTATGTATATTTATTCATCATTTTAATTTGTAATTTATTTTATCTAATTTTAAATTTAACAATGTTATTTTCATGATTGATTGTCTTTATGTTTTTCAATCAATTAAATTTTATATTTCATGATATAACATCATTTTATCTTTATTCAAAACTTAAAGAACATTGCTTATATTTTCAAACTATTTTACATATTAATTTAAACTAAAAGTAATACGGTTATGGACAAAACTTCAAATTTCGTATATAAATAACTTTTTATACATTTATGATTATTAATTATGATTTTTAAAGTTTTTATGTTATTTTAACTTGTCACCCGTGTGATACGCGGGTTATAACCATATATATATATATATATATATATATATATATATATATATATATATATATATATATATATATATATATATATAGAGAGAGAGAGAGAGAGAGAGAGCTAGGTTCAAATGTTTCTAACAACTATTGTGTGTATGAATGCACCAATATGAATTTAGGAAATAATAAAATAAATAAATAAGGGTGATTTAGTAATTTGATATATAAATTCCATAAATATTCCCTATAATCATGCTAGTCAAATTGACTTTTAACCTAATTTATCCCCCTTTTTATTTACAGTCGTTCTTATTCCCTCACTTCATTTGTGTGTGTATGTGTGTGGTCGAACACGTTCATCATCATCGACAAACGAATGATGCCGCTTCTTCCTCCTGTCTCTCCACCGTCGGCTCCGTAATCAATCGATGTCGTTGTACACTACGGAGTGTAACACCCCGAATTTAGGAGACCTTGAAAGGGAAGAAAACCTCAAAATGAGGAAGCGACTCGTCGAGTAGATGGAGTGACTCGACGAGTAGGATCGCGATTTGGGTCACGGGTTAAGTGACCTACTCGACGAGTCAGAAGACTGACTCGGCGAGTTGGTCTGGGTTTGGGAAACCCTAGATGCGGGTCTTGTACCCTATTTAAAGAACATTATAACCTCTCATCAGCCTCCTTGACACTCTCTCAAGTCCAGAAACGAAACCCTAGCCACCCAACTCCATTATTTAGCATTGTGAAGCTAAAAGTTGTATTGGTGGTGCACTTCTTGGAAGATTGAAAGCAAGGAACGAGGGGGAGAGTTTAGATTCAGCATCTACCTCAGTTTGGCAGTTAATATAAGGTAACAAGTTGTTACCTTGAGCACTCATTTGATAGATCTCTTCATCTTGAGTTTCATGGTCTTTTCTAGCACATTTGTGGCTAGTGCTTGCATGGGGCACGATCTGAAGTTTGCAACTTCAGATCTGGACTCCCCAAGCTCCCTAATGCATTAAAGTCTCAAGCTTTTAAGGCTTAAAGCCCTCCTTCATAGTAAAACCCTTCCTTGTAGCTTAGTTTTGGCTTTTGGGAACTATTCACACGTAAAGGTTGCAACTTTACGTGGAAATCATGCTCCAGGAGGTTGGATCTACCTTTGGGAGAAGCTGTTTGGCTTAGAAATCGTCTATATAGAATGAGACATAGAGGGACTCGGCGAGTCACTTATGGGACTCGGCGAGTCAGTCTGCCTTCTTGCCCCAAAACCCTTCTGTTAAAGGGTATGAGTTGAGTTGGTATGGGACCCAGTCAGTCTGGGTCCATAGCGGGCATGAAGATCATCGTACTCGGCGAGTTCAATGAGGAACTCGGCGAGTCTAAGGCAATCTTCTTAGTATATGAAGATGGACTCGACGAGTTGTTCATACAACTCGGCGAGTCATAGTCTGGACATTCATAAGAGGGAGATGAACTCGACGAGTTCAAGGATGAACTCGGC